ACCATTAAGCGACATGCTCTAGTAAATTTCGTAATGACACCGAACGTTCTGGTTTCTCACAGCATATATATTCATATCATTGGCTTCTTATTAAACCATTTTCAAGTATTGCTTGCGTGTCAAATGGATACATGTTCACCTTATCTTACCTCCACAAAAAACACTCGTTGAAAACTTCTCAGGTAAGGGCCTCAGTTTTTCATAGTTTAAGGACATGATTATGCAGTGACGTATGTGAAATCAACACTTGTAATCAGAAAGCAGTACAGTAAGGCATGGCTTGCTATTGGTTATAGCCAAAGACTCAGCAGAATTTAAAGCAAAAAAAAACCTCTTATAAGATAATAAGTTTTCAGAGGCAAGAAAAAAACGAATGATCTAGGAGTGGGCCCATTACATTGAAGAAATGTAAAATGGTTTCCGTGTTTACATAGCCTGATGTAAACACTTGGGAGGTTGGGAGAACACGAGATAAGCGTAGGGTTAGGCCAACGGTTATTTTTACTTGGCAAAGGAGCTTCCAGGCATTTCAGATAATTTATAGACAAAGCAACTTTACTTTCGGAATAAATCGTATGTTAAATAAATAGATCCTTTTTTCCTATTGAACGACGAATAACATTCATTATTTTATTCCACGTAGCTGGTTTAGATTCAGTAGATTGTATCAGTGCCGTAATTATTCAATATAAATCCCTGTGTAGTTCCTGTTTGACGCACACAGTTTGTAATGTTTTCTCGGTTCTCTCGGCAGGTTTCCATTGTTTCTGTAGTTTTTGTAGCCGATTAGAGAAAGCAGTAGTTAGGTAGCCATCTCCCTATGTATTTCCTGTCTGTCTGGGCAGTGGTTTGATGTGAAAGTTCCTATCAGTCTTGCAGAGAAGTTCAACAGACTGAATCAACAATGAAAGAATATTGTCATTTTCATACCTAACTAACATAGCATGTGTACACTACGTTCAGTGATTTGCATTTAGGACCTTGAATTCTTATTTGTATTCTCTGTTGCTTGACGAAAATTCCGCTGATTTTCGAGAAAGTGAAGAAATGGGTCCATTCCGACACAAACCGTGATGGTTCTTTTACAAACGTACACCGCAGTTGATTCCAGAAGAGTATGAAGGTACGAATGCTTAATTAACCGTGATAATATAAAAACACCAAACTCGTAGTCACACCGAAACGCATCCTGCTCACTGAACACTGCTAAAACCGTTTTTCGATACCCCGACCATTAACGAATTTAAGTCACTTGGGGTCGATCCCAGGCTGTTCTTTGCCCGGTCAGAAAGCAAAGCTATTCACTTTCTTCTCTTCCACATTCAAATTAAAGTTAGCCGTGTTAATTAAAATGATCCGAGTCATGGGCAGAAAAGAGGCCTTGTTGAATGACGGGACTCGCCCCTCTTGTGTAGCATAAATGAAAACACGAACGTCTAGCTCGATCTCTCTAATTACCAGAGTAGTTAAAAAAGGTTGCTATCACCAACAGCCTTGTTTATGAAGCGTACGTACACTCTTAGGGGTGTTTATGAGCTAATTAGGAAGAGATATCATATTGTTCTTTGTTCTTAAATATCACAGTAATCTAAAAACAAAAGAAATCTTACCGTTATTAAACGTACGAAGTTAAACAAAGAGACTGCTATGGTCAGCTCAAAATTAAAAAACCTGACAGTTTTAATTAAGTTTGAGCACCGAGTCAAAAGTTTCTACAAAATTTTTCAACTTGTTAAGTTAACAAATTGAGTAGTAAAATTGGGTCACAAATCGTAAATTGCCTGCTGAGTTTAAGAGTCGACATAGTTCACCGTTTATGTAAATGTAATCTTTTATTGCATTACAGCTTTTATTGTTAGGTGCCTTTGTGGAGATGTCCAGTTTAATAAAATTTATTGTATTTTGTTTTCGTCAGTTTGATTTATGAGATACTAGCTAAAGATTACAATCCTTGGTAAGCTTAGAAAGTGTCGAGTGTTGTACATCCTGAGAGGCGAGCGTTCCACATCTGGAATCTTTCCCTTTGGTCGAGGCTGTGAAAAGCATGGGGTCATTCGGGCGTGGTAAGATTTCCAATTTGGGACCTTTTTTTCGGTTAGTCGCTTTGAAAGAGGTCCAGAAAATACAACTTCTTTGAAGCATTTTTTGATTGAAAAGTTAAGAAATGTCAAAGATCTATGGTGCCTTTAGGGCGCAATCGTTTTCATGTTGGTTCTTGCTTAAGTGAAATTTTGTGTTTCATGTTGACAGACTGCAGCGTTTTCTCATAATTTGGTGAAAATCATCGTTGCTATCATGAAAATAAAAGGTTTCAGTGGTATATGGTTTGAAATATTACCTATTTGAGTCACAACTGATTCCAACCAAACCACAACTAGAAACCGGCGGGAATTGATGGCTCCATAACTTCGTCAACATCACCACTTAACAAAAAGTGTTTCTTGCGCAATATAAGAAGCAACTGCATTCACAGTGTGTCTTAGATAGTTTGATTCAGTGACTGACATCTGCTGCCCCGATGAAGGGGAAGCATTTTCAGCTTTTATGTGATGCCTTGATGCCTTTGTACTAATTACATAAGGTGTTCAATATATTTCGTATTCCAATTTTCTCTTTCATGACAACTCTCATTAAAGCCGCAAATTTAAAATCCGGCCTAGAAGAGGTTGTTAAACAGGCAGAGCAAACCTAACGTAAAGCAATTTAAAATACGATTGTATGGTAATTAAAAATATGTTTTTAACAAAGATTGATGAGCGGGATTACAAAAGCCGTTAGTTTAAGAAGCCATATTATTTGATTAAATCAGTTAAGAATACTGATGAATTTTTTACTCAGTATTGCTGGTCGTACTTTACAAGTAAGAATAAGGAAAAATGAAACTGCAGTTAACAAAACTTATCTTATCAACCTCCGTCATTTAACTGCACCCACAGAGCTAAAAAAAGTATCACATGAATTGTGTGATTGTGAAGGAAAGCGCCAGAGGAAAGTGGTACTTTTTTATGTAATATACTTATTTTTTTCACTCATGACAGTCACAAGGAAAAATCTAACTATGTCGCAAGACATTAAAATTCTAGGTAAATGAACTTGATCTGTGGCCGGTTTACATAGTATTACAGCCGGTGAAACAATGGACCTCTGCTGTATCCTCCAGGAGAACGCAACTTGATGGATTCACCTGTCCTTGTTCTTGCTCATTGTAAACTGGCTGGAGTGCGCTCAGTTCACATGCTTAAAAAGAAAGCAAAGCAACGAAATGACGAAAACGTAATCATATTCTGTCTCATGTATTCTTCGCCTGAGGATTCAGGATTAAAAAGGGTTGGTCCTTTTCTTTCTTTTACTGTCGAGTTCTGGCCCTAATTAAGCTTTCAAACTGATTTGCCACATTAACATTCTGAGCGGAGAAATTTCGGCTTGGAAACAAGAATGGAAACAGTTACAACAAAATATCTCTGTTTTCATGAAAATTCAACGAGCTGACATCACATTCGCTTTGTTCTAAGGAGTAGGTTTATGACAATAACTAGAGAGTTAATTAGTGTATGACAAGATGCATTCAATAAAACACCTAAAACACCTGGAAAAACATTCAGAGTCCGAAATAAATCTCTTGCAAAGTGATCTTCTATTTCACTGTACCTAAACTTTTTACATCGATTGGACTGGTAATTCAGTACCTTGAACCAGAATTCATTAAACAGACAGAGATTGTGTCGCATTAGCAACAAATATGGATATGTACACCGAAAATGAGAAGATAGTGGAATGCCGGAAAAGATATTGCAATCTATAAGATCAGCTACCAAGGAATTTAATGAAAACTTGAGGAGATGTACCTTGTGAAACCTATTTCTTATTGCCGGCGGCACTCACTTTAACTTTCGTCATTTTTAAGACGAAGAAAGAAGGCCAAGTGGCCAGTCGATTTTAATCTCTTACATAAACAAAATCACGTTGGGCGGTATGATTCAATAGCTTCGTTGTGGAACCTGAATTGTTGATAATAGGTGAACTTTTGTTTAACCGTGTGGCCAAATTATTCGGACACTCATGACACTTATTCCAAAACTAACATCAACAGTATACGTTTACAGTGATAACCTTGCGGAAAGGCAAGACACTGGGATAGACAGCTGATAATAAAACCCACGATTCTGATGATAGCTGGGCAAAACGTTGGCTCCAATTTTGCTCAATTTCTCCTTATTTTTATTAGACAGTAAATGACATGTCACTGCCTTGTCAATAGGATGGAAGTTCAATTTGTTTGAAACGATTTTCATTTAAAAGTGACTATGTATCTCTTTGGTTGCCTCTGTTTGGATTTTACCGGAAAATTAATATTCGTGTCAGTTGGAACTTTTTTTCTTCTACTATTTCATACTGGCGTCAACAAATTAAGTTTGACAGCTCTTACTGATGAAAGTTTGAGTTTTCTTTTAACATGGGAGTTGTGAGACTTGAATTAATTCGACCTGTGAATCATCCCAATGCAATTGTTATGGTTCGGGAAACTATCGATAGTTCAGTGGTATTAAATCAGATCTATAAGGGCTTGAATAAGGCCAATCCTATCAAATATTAGTTTTTTTCTGTAATAGAAAGTCCTCTGTTTGAAAGCCTCAGTTAACTGTCGGCTAAAATCTTTTCCGGACCGGATATGGGACAACAAAACCAGGTCAGATGTGACGGCCGCATTTCGTTCGGTCATGCAATTTACGTGTGGGCAGTTTAAGAGAAGGGTTTAAACTGTCGGCTAATAACAAGTTTAGTAAGATGAAGTGCGCTGAACTAAAAGATCAACAACACAAATTATTTTAATTAAGTGGTAAATGAATTCTCTGACACCCGACCGGATGCTTCTTCAGTCTCATCCTTGCGACATGCATACTTAGTTGCTCTCTTCGTCAGTCTCGGCTTTATGATCGAGATGCTCCCACAAATCCACGGAAGAAAATGGTTGAGAAGTTCAGGAACACAGTTGACAATACTCCATTTCAGAGAAATCAGGTAATGCTTCTTCCCGTGGTAACTGTGAGACAATAATTTCAAGTAAATGAGGGCAAGGATGAAAAAAGTTGGGCTTTTATGCAATAACTCAGATAATTCTGGGAACTCATAAAACAGTTGTTTAATTAATTACGTGATGAGTAAAGTGAGAAAATCAATAAGTGAGCAACATGTGCGCAGATTGCATGAGTTGCAAGACGATCATTACGAAATGGTGACTTTGGTTGTAGCTTTTCAAGTCATACAGGGACTGCTGAGAAACAATCAATTCAAAATCTCACGGATAACAGAATTTTTGTTGTTGTTTTAAGTACGATTATAAATTCCTTCTGCCAGTTTCTTTGCCACCATGTTATATTGTCTGTTCATACTTTACGAAAGTTCACTGGAGCTGATTTATGGTGGTGATAGTAAGTGTTTACACCAGATAAATAACAGACTTTTCAGAAAATTGCACCGTTGCAAGAGACACCAGTACACGGTATGCAATTACAGTCTTTTAATTTATAAGATAGACATTGGCTATTGCAATAATGTTGCAACCGTGTTACCAGCCCGAAATTTTCTTTAGCAGACAAACAGATAACACCCGAAAGGTTTTTCAGCTCTACAAAATTCCTTGAGAATGTACTTTCCTTGGTGAAATTTTCCATAACAACATAACTCTGTTGGCTAAGTTTATTCCTCTCTGAAGGTCACAACTTTTGCTGAGTGAAAGACTGTTTACATTGCACATGACTCTACACCAAAGGAATTTTTCGTGGCCGAAGTGAGAACATTTAGCTCCTTTGTGATTTGGGTATTGACTTCCGGCGTCAACAAACAGGGTGGTTACTTTTGTACTTGAGAGGAATACATCAAGGACCTTCAATAAACTTCTGCTCGCGCAAATCTTTATTCTAAAAAAATTAAACTTGATAAAAGTGGTGTACGTGATCATTTAAAACAATGGCTATTATTCCTTTCACCGTTTGCAATAGCCCTGCTGGCCTGTGCCACTCATTAGTCTTTATGGAAAGTGTTATTGATGGTTTCACCATCTCATCATCACAGAGTCACATGTTAATCGACCAGACTAAAATGAATGAACAACGATCATTTGACGAGGCCATTTCAACTGCGTTTTCTCTGATAATTTTTTCTTTTAGAAAACGACATGTTCGAGTTTATTGTGCGCGGATTATGCACTTAGTTTTTATAAGAATTACTACACAGTAGCTATAGTTACAAAGCACTTACTCTTGCCACAATAAAATAAACACTTCAAAGGTGTAAATTAGATTTTCACTTGAGCTAAAGTATTCGCCTTGAGGGCACAAGTAAGCTCTGAGTAAATAAAGTTCTTTAATGGGACTCTTTTCCTCATCCGGTCTGAATTAACTCAAGGTATAATTACTTAATTCATCTCAGTGGCTTTAGAGCTTTATTGCATCCGCTCATGAATGCATGTATCGCGGCAGTGAGATCTTTCACTCATCCGGGTCCACTTGTACTTTAGACGTGAGTATTTTACAAGAACAAGAAGTGTTTCTCACATCAAAATCACCTCACAATCATATCGCCGGTTTTGGAGCTTAATTTCGCCGGTGAGAAATACTGAATTGCATTGTGAAAAAAGCGCTGAATAAGTCGTGTTCTTAGAGATCACTTAGGGTTAAAATTAATTCAGTGAGTAACTTGTTCAATTAAGCTGTCATCAAGACACACAAATATCATTTCGATTAAATTTTCCACAATAGGATTATATCGTGATTAATGTGTAGCCTTGGGAGGGGGGTGGTGGACAGTTGGACAGCCTCTAAGTGAATTGAAAATGTGCTGGTATCACTAAGCCGATTGTGATGTAAGATTTTATCCATGATGTAGATAAAAATTTCTGTTTCTTTCATTATGATACTTAGACTCTTAGTAATAATGATTTTTCAACAGAAGTTGCGCAATTAAATCTTCTCTTTCACCGGTATCTCCTTACATCGATTATACCATCCCGGATATTGAAAAAAGGTTGAAAATTGTACTCGACGATACAATGGATTCTGAAATTTCAGGGCCAGGTGGTAATGACGATTTTGTCGTTGTAAAAACAGTAACAAAAAAAGAAAAAAAAGGACGCCGGCCTATTTTTAAGCAGTCGTTTTTTTTTTTTCTACTAGCTCCGACGAGATATTGGTAAAAGGATCGTGCCTTGGGTGAGGACCTTTCGTCGACATTTCAAAATTGGCCTCGAATTACGATGAACTGCCTCTTTGCCTAAACGTTCCTTTTGACAAACATATTGTTAGTGACGTTGCATCACTTGCTAAGTCAGAGTTAGGCAAAGTGCACGTGCGTACTATTAGAGTAAATAAGCATTCTCGCAACTTTAATCAAAAAACAACTAGTTGGTAAGGCTTTACCTTCATCTTTGGCAGAGCCCTGTTTCGATGATGGAAAAATCTATGTCCATATGTTTTTGCACACCTGTAGTTTGTTGAAAATAGCCTAACACTTCCGCCTCCTCTTGACGGTCACATGCTTGAAGACTTTGGTATAAGTTTTACGCTTTGTTCGGTTTAACTGTTTCATGTTTTTTCCATTTTAGCTTCCAATCAAAATGGTTCTTAATTGCAAATATTTTTGTTTTTACCCTTCATAAACTAAATCAGACAAGGCGCCTTGTCAGGAAAACGCTGATTCATTTCAAAGTTACGAGGAAAGAGGTACCAAACACGTTGCTGTGGAGGAAACCATGTTGCCAATCTTCGAGTTTATTGACGAAAATGTAATCGGGGGCAAGACAAGTTTTGAAGGACCTTATGGGCAAAGAAGAGGTATGTTACGAGGACACAGATACTGTTAAAAAAAAAAAAAAAGTTTAAACAATATGCATTTTTGTAGATGTTTGTTAACTGTGATTGTCCACATTTTGGAAATCGGGTGTAGCTTGTCATGACGCCGACCTTAATGAAAGTGAGAGCCCACATAGAATATAGGATGTTCTAAATATATAAAGAGGAAACATTAGCTGAAATTCATGTTTATAAATTGCTAAATTATTTAATAAGTGACTGATGCGCACAATTTATACAGTAGAAGGTTATTATAAAATATTATAGTATTAAACGTAATCTGTGCATTTTATTTCTCTCATTAGTTATCTATTGCGATTACACCGCGTCTGGAAAGTAAGTTAATAACATTTTGCCCGGCTATTATAGAAAATTTCTGTGTAATATCTATGTGGAAGACAGTATGGTTGACTTTTGGTGGCTGGATAAAACCACTGTTTAATTAGAAAACAGAGATCATGTGAGACACCTGCAGTCTATTCTTAATGGTTCTTGGTTTCCTTAATGATTTGATTTCCCTCCAATAAGCGCCTACTCCCCCCCCCCCCACCCCTATTCTAATATGCGCCTTTATCGAATAAGTACTGTTATTCCGATAGGCGCCCCCGTTCTGTTTCCCTAACAGCACTGTTAGAGTACATATACATCGAGATAAACCGTGGTTCCTTTAATTTTAATTGCCACTTAGAGCCTCACAACAAAAGTGGTGGTCTTTGTCTCAGTCTTTCAACTATTATGTCCCCGTGAATGTACGGTTCCTTCAAACAATAGATTCCGTCTCAAAATTTTGCGACGATTGCTAGGCTAAGGACAACACGTTCGTTTTCCAGCCTTCTTTAACCTTTTCAAGTAAATATTAAAGGTTGCTTCACATTCTCAAAAAAAAAACAAAACAAAATTAAGCACCCTGTTTCAAAAAAGGGCCCTCCCTTGAGGTACCAAAAGTAAATCAGCGCCCCGTGCGCTAAATTAATCACTACGGTAATTTGATTTCACGTTTATCACTTGTCACTAGGCCCCTCCGATTTATCGAAAGATACATAAGGGAGTTTGTTTATCCCTTTTACGCCAACACGCACACAACTACGAGTGTGACGTCACGACAAACAACAAGATTTAGACAGGAAGCACGGTAAGTCAGTCCGCAAAAACAATAACATCATCGGCTGCGTAAGACTGAGTAAGGGCAATTAACTTAACAACTTTGCGTTGCAAATCCATTTTAATTGAGATTCCGCCATTACGCACTGTGAACAGGGGAAGCCTTGAGTGCTCTGAAAAGTTGTCTTTACTGAGTGCTGATTGTCTTAGAAGTGAGGAAAAAAAGCAAAGCTATCGTCTAATGAAAAAACAAAAACGAACTGCACAGCTAAGGAAAGTTATTCGACGTCGGAATAAAGAGTGCAGTTTTGACAAATGAGGGAAACCCGAGACATTAAAATTCCTTGAAGCATAGCTAAAACAATTAGAAGGGTTTGAAACTGCCCTGCCCTCGTTTCTAGAAATATGGACTAAAGCATGTTGAATTAACAGAATATTGTGAGTTTTTTTCACACCTCTTCACGTCGCTTAAAATATAACAACAGCTAATGAGCCATATGATGATAATTACTGCAGGGAAATCATCAAGAAGTGCGTCAATGCCGGGCAAGACGATGTAGTTGTGTTTACTGGTAGTGGAGCTACTGGAGCTATCCATAAATTAATCCATGCTCTACAGTTAACAGGAAAAGTTGTTGACAAAACCGTGAGTACCCAACTGAACATTTTTGGTCCGTTTGTCTCTGATTCAACGTAAGATACAGATTTGGCGTCCATTTTCGGCCCTTTTCTCGAGCATTTCGATCTTTTCCTTCAAACAGGTTGTGTTCGTCGGTCCGTTTGAACATCACTCAAATATCTTACCGTGGAAAGAAACAGGAGCGAAGGTAGTCTAATTTTTGTCGAACTAAGAAAAAAAAATCATATACTATATAGTTGTTCAGTGGCTTTAATATTTATCAGCGGTATGGCCGTCTTCCACTGATGAATTTTTTTACGCAGTGGCCATCATATCAAGACCATTCAGGACTTTTTTCTAACTTTGACGTGTCCTTAGACAAATATTATTCTTTCATTATAGATCATCAGAATACATGATAATGACCAAGGCACAGTAAATATGAAGATGCTTGAAGCCCAACTTAGGGTAATAATTTACGTCTCTTTGCTAAAAACTTAAAGTTATTAGACGCTGCCTTGCTTTGTTTTGCTTTGATCTGTGATTGCTCAAGAGTACCAGCAGCCTCTTTCAACCAATCAGTTGCAAAACCAAAGCCAACGACGGCTTGGTCACTCGAATTTTAGCACGCTCTTCTCCTTAGCATTTCCCATTGGTTCATAATTTGTGATGAGTTTGGTTTTATCTCACATTATTGCTTTCAACAATTATAAGGCATGTTTCCTTTTATCCGATTACAGAAATATCGCTTAGCAGAATACAATATGTACGTGGCGTTTTCAGCTGCCTCTAATGTGACTGGAATCCAAACAGACACTGTTGCTGTGGCTGAACTATGTCATAAATATGGGGCCTTGTCTTTCTGGGATTACGCATCGGCAGGTCCATATCTCAAGATTGACTTGAACCCAACACTCACCGGGTAAGGAAGGACATTGCTATTCATATCCATCGAAATATTATCATGTCGAAATGACGCTTATGTCAATTCTATATAGTGAAAACCAATTCACCTGACCGACCCAAATCCACAGATTTTGTTTTTAATGATTATGTGCAGATTCTACACGTATTTTTCACATAGCGCAGACTGTAATTATTATCACAAACCGTTTTGCCGGTTTAAAACCGCTCTTCTGGTTATTGATGACACTCCGTGAGTTTTTTCATGGAGCAAACAAAATTTCAATCTACGGTTAGAGGCAACAATAATTGTTCAGTTTTGCTAATTAAATGAGCATTACCTCAGAGAAAGCTGAGCAGCTCTGTTCAGATTGTGGTGCAATAAAGGAGCCTCGTCATTTAGTGATCGATGAGGACGAGGGAAATAGCAACAAACGGATGCTTTGATTTCTATGTCAATAAAATTTGATTTTAATTCCTGCTTTCAACCAACGCTTTGCGAAATAAATTGGGATTCAAAGAGTAATAACTGTTTTTGCTCTTGCAGGTACAAAGACGCCGTCTTTCTTTCTCCTCACAAATTTGTGGGGGGACCTGGAACTCCAGGTAAAACTATTCCATGCAACAACAGTATCTTGCGTTCGTTGCTCAAGGGGTTACTTGGTAAAAAAATTAACCAACTGCATTGTGGGAAACTAAATGAACTCAACCATGCCTTGCGAAAAAAAAAATAGGACAGAACTTAGTGCTTGTTGCACCTGACCAGGTTGGTCATTTTTGCATACGTAACTCTCCTAATAGTGATCGCAAAATGTCCGTAACAGGCCAGTATAAAACCACCCTTGCCGAAAAGAACATCTCAACTACAATGCTCAAAAGCATATCTTGAACCACGATGCAACGCATCGTAACAGTTTTTAACTGTGGGATATTTCCCTGTGTTACAGTGAAAAAATTTTTAGCCACTTTTTAATCATGAATATTCGAAGTCATGACGTTAGGAAACATACTTTGGTAACTAGAATGAGAGAGATGGTAAGTTTTGAGTTCGTTAAAGAAATGGAGAAAGATGTTTTTCGCTGTGTTTTCGACGAGCGTGAAAGAAAAAATCTCTGAGTCCTCATGAGGAATCGAACCTCATACCAGCGGATTCCGCGCTCCGATGCTCTACCACTGAACCACAGAGACTTTACGGTGAGCGAAGAATATTTATAGAATGAAAGAGATGGTAAGTTTTGAGCTCGGTAAAGAATAGAGATTATTTCTATTTCTATTTGTATTTCTTTACCGAGCTCAAACCTACCATCTCTCTTATTCTATTTATAAAAATAACGCTATCGACATTTCTGGTCTTAGCAGTATGCTGGACAAGTCATATGAACTAATTCGTAATAGACCTCGCTGACTGTAGAGACTCTGTGGCTCAGAGGTAGAGCATCGAACCGCGGAATCCGAAGGTCTGAGGTTCGATTCCTCATGGGGACTCAGAATTTCTCTTTGTCCCACGTTCGTGACAAGACGAAAACATCTTTCTCTATACTTTGGTAAAATTGCAAAACTGTACCGTAAAACAAGCCCAGACAGGGGCATACATGATAAATTTGAAAACAAAAATTGTCTATATTGATTCTTGTTTTATTTTGTATTGATCGCTATTTCACACAAGAAAAAAATGCTTTCTTTCAGGCTTACTTATTGCTAAAAAGAGGCTTTTTCGAAATCCTGTGCCTGGGGGATGTGGAGGAGGAACAGTCCTCTTTGTAAGTTAACATGCATCACGCTCTGTAAAACATGTCAGTTAACGTGTATATGATGGTGGTCTGAAAAAAGTGATTGGAACCTGATAAAGACGTCATTAGGCGCAGAGATTATTTCCAGTTGGTCTTACTTAATTTTGCGACTCCCCTTGGATGGAATGAGTGTACTTTGCAGGTTACCCTCAGGTGTACGTCAGTTTCCCTGTTAACTTGGCAACACCTACTGATACTCCTTGGTGGAGAGGCCTTGTAACAGTGAAGTAACCTTGGAACACGGTGGCCCGGCTAGGTCTTGCGCCCAGACCTCTTGACATGAAATAGCCGTCCAACGCAAACCATCTTTCACTAGGAATGCTGCTGGTTACGTGCCTATTTATCTTGCCATTATACCTCAACATATATCTCTCCTCAAGTAGTTTTGATACTGGCACATCTTTTATCTTCTTTTTAGAGGTTTATTGCAGTGACTGGTCAGGAATCATTCAGCGTTAATACCATTTTTCTATTACTTGATACAGGTGACACGTGATACACATTTATACTTGAAAGACATTGAAGAAAGAGAAGAGGGAGGAACACCAGCCATAGTAGAGTCAGTACGGGCCGGTATGGTCTTCCAACTTAAAGAGGTACAATACTGACACTTTTTTCAGTCAATAACGAATGGCACGCTCCTCGAAATTATCGAGGGTACAGTGTAGGAGCAGTAAACCCGATAACATGACTTAGGGACATGCCGATCATTAGTAATTAACTAGGACGATACGTTATACTGCGTCATAATGCATTATCGATGCCGTTTACCAAGATTTCCGCCAAAGCACGAGATAGCGAGCCAGCCTGAAAACTTAAAGGTCGCTGTGTATACTTAGAATGAAAATTGAGCTATAGGTTGAAGGTGAAGTTACAGCGCATATAAAAGAGGAGGTAGTAAAATGAGTGGTTACCGGTCGTTTCGTACCCAGCCAGTTGAGTCGTTTCGTACCCAGCTCGGTCGCTTCGTACCCAAACTAATAAACTATGCTTTCCATGTTTAAAATAAGGTCGGTTTCTTATTGAAATTAGCAATATTACATGTTTTAACGTGGTGTCCATTTTTAAAGGGCGAAGTCTAAGAGTCATACTATACTTCATCACAGCATGTCGTTATAGCTTTCACTTCATTTGATCACGGGTTTGTTGATGTTTGCGCATCCTTTCAGTACTTGTTTCAGCAAAATCTGCTCTCCATTGGTAAAAAATTATGTTTTTTATTTCTTTTCGTTGGAATAAACGAATTCATTACCGTTAATAACAACGGGAGAAAAAATACACAACACAACAATCGACATCTGTTGACACACTCGCACGTGAGGTATTTTGAATAAATGTATATAAGGACGGGAAAGAATAGATCAGTGGCTTTGGTACGAACCGATTCACACTTGGGTTCGAAGCAACTAAATTTGGGTACGATACTACTGTGTATGAAACGACCGAATACCAAATAAGCAAGGATGGATACATCTGTAAAGGGCGAAATTTAATTTGAATGAACCGAACAAGCTACTTTTTTGTTTTACAGTCTGTGGGGACAAAAACTATTGAAGACAGAGAGGAAGAGTTATGCAGGTCGGTAAAAACTAATTTGGGGTAAACTGCTCACAAAATCACGTTCAATTACTAAAAAGCCCTATTTGCTTACGCTTTAATTTTCTACATAGAAATGCCTTTCAAGTGTGGGGAAAAAATCCAAAAATAACAATTTTGGGGAATGAGAAGGCTCGTCGCCTGCCGATATTTTCTCTGCTGATACATCATCCTGATAGTGGAAAGATTTTGCATCACAATTTTGTCTCTGTATTACTTAACGATCTTTATGGCATCCAGGCTCGCGGAGGATGCGCGTGCGCAGGGCCCTATGCACAGGTATGGTTTACAGATGATGAGTATTCTGTAAAGTAATCAGACAAAGTATGCTTTATGCTGGCACTTGTGCGGTGTTGTGGCTTAGTTTACGCGTCATTTGTGTGCGCTTGAACACTTTTATTCAAACTTGTCGTAGAAATGTATTCATTCACGAACGCTCAAATGATTACAGACCGAATTGTACTGTACTCTCAAGGGTGGGTACAAAACTTCTTGACAGGGGTTGGGGGGAGATCCAAAGGAAACAGCATATTGCACTAAAGCCTAGATAGACAAAGAAATGTTTCCAAATAGGTGAATTTTTACTACCTTAAGTTGAGTTTTAATGATCGATCCAGTCATTGGAATGAGAATCCAACACTGACTTGGTCCTATATTGTCATTAATAATTATATTTTGTTGTCACTGACCTTCGCTCTAAATATATACAGGATCTTTTGGGAATAAACGAGACTATAGCAAAGAAATTTACCTGGTTTCTTGAGTCTCATGAAAAGTAAGTCAATTAATTCGAGTACCTCTATGGAGATCAATACTGATAACCCCTTTTACTAACAGAAAATAAAATTTTCCAAGAGGGCTGATTTTTGTACATTGCATGAGAAAGTTTCACATGAAGAGGAGAATCGTTAATTATTGAGCTAATGGCTTTCACAATTTGGAATTTATCGCCTATAACCGAACGGCCTTTCAATGTTCAATGCATTTTTTGGTCATTGCACAGATAAACTCCAGTTAAGTCAAAGTAAGCATAAACTACTCGCTGAGTAGTAACAACTAACAGTAACAGCCCTATATACTACAGTGAAATCATTATTTGTTACGACGAGAGACTCTACTGATTATGACAAATGTTTCACTAAAACGTACGAATGATTACTTTCGTGTTTCAGCGAAGATGTGGAACTCTCATGTAGAGAACCTCTGGAGATCATGAAGTAAGTAGAATATCTTTCATTATCATAGAATATTCACAGAGTTTAATAGTCTTCAGCAGTTGAATTGTCTAGTAATTTCATACATAACTCAGTATTTTACGCGCTACGCGGTGTTTATGGCCGATATACTGACGCGTGACATGTTTGGTTCATGCCTCCTAGTATGATCAATATAAAAAGTTTTCGCAGCCAATTTTAATGTTTGATGGAAACATGATTTCATTGGAACTGGAAAAAAGATAGTAACCTTACTTAGCCAGTTTAGGATAAAAAAATGTTACAGCAAAGGGACACTAAGGACTCAAAGAACCAAATTGTTGTTTTCAGACCAGGGTTTGCCAGAGTCAATCTGCCTTACTTCATGGATGACGAGACAGTGCATTTTGTGTTGGAAGCAGTGGACATGATAGCCACACATGGCTGGAAATTGTTACCACAGGTTACTAGTGACTCTTTAGTTCCTAGAGGTGATTGTATCTAGCTTCTCCCTTCTTTTAATACATCATCAAGCAAAAGCTGACGAGAAAAAACAAATGTATCAGCTATCAGTTATTCCTGATATGACATATGACATATGAAAAAAAAAGTAATCGGAGGATCACAAAAGAGATATCAAATGAAATAAAAAAAAGAAAAAACTTTAGGGGGATGAACTGTAAGCGTACGATTTTGTTGACGATGATGAATTTATTATAATTATTTTTCGATATTAACTATAATCTAGATTAAGAGCTCTCTTTACTACCTGTTGCATAAAATGCAAAAATTGTCCATTGGTACTTCTACAGTAGTTTTGTTTTGCTTTTGTGCTCACGGGTATATGCTGGGAGCTGCTGCCAGCTAAGCTGCAGAGTCACATGCTAAGAGCAAGGTAAAGTTTAGGGGGGCGCCAAGTGTTTCGTTTATTTCTCTAAGCTTCGATTGCTACAATGCTTTGATTGCAGTTCACCTCGTTACCTCATTGGATACTATAAAATTGCTCATATACTCTTATCGCTCTTAGTACCGGTTTGATCCACACACTGGCGCCTGGGAAAACAGATATTTCAGTGCAGACAAAGCTAAACCACCGTTCAGTCTCCATGACGTTACTTATGACGAGATTGGGGTAGTAATGAAAAATACAGGAAAACCACTTGAGCTCGACGTCAGGCTTGAGGTTAGTGCCATCAATTCTAAGTCAATCTTAAGGTAACTGCTATAAAATTCGACGTCAAGCTTGAGGTTACCGCGATCAAATTCGACGTCAAGCTCGAGGTTAATACTGTCAAATTCAACGTCAAGCTTGAGGCTAATGCTATCAAATTCGACGGCAAGCTGGAGGGTAGTGCAAGCAAATTTGACGTCAAGCTTGAGGTTACTGCTATCAAATTCGACGTCAAGCTTGAGGTAAATGCTATCAAATTCGACTTCAAGCTTGAAGTTACTGCCATTAAATTCGACGTCAAACTTGAGGTTAGTGCTTTAGTGCTATCAAATTTCTTTTCTTGCATGATAGTTTCTACTGATTCGGGTCCAAAGTTTGAGTCAGTAACCAAGGAAACATTGGTGAGGGGGGGGAAGGGATTGATGTTAGAAGGGCGTCGGTTTCATAGGTCTCTCAGTTCCGCAAAAGCTAATTTTGGTTTCAAACGGATAGTCAGTCTGTGTCTTAAGACATCAGTTTCCAACCTGTAAGTTCTCGTTAGCGAATTCTCTTTTCATTTCAGCAAGAGCTAAAGTTGACAAGTTAACGGTTGGTCGCCGGTTTTGCTCGTGTTTCCCAAAAACCATGTTTAGTATGTTGATTGTTGCTTATTTCTTATAATGAATTTTCAGGACATAGCTCAAGCAGCAAGCAAAATCTTAAAAGACGCAGTTGAATTGAATAAGGTTTGTTAATTAGCGACGCCAACTATCCGATAAAAACAATGAGCACAGCAAACGTTTTAGTTCTCAACAGAAGCATGTAACAGCATCTAGTTTCAAATATAGGGTCACCCACCTGAGAGGAAGCTCTTTTCAGCCTATGAACTACCTCGGTGATTGCATCGCAGTGAACGGGGCCAATACTTTGTTTGATCATGTGGATGAAATTTGTAGAGGATTTAACAGGCATCTCGAATGGCTATTCTCCCAAAATACTCCCCACCACCAACAATTACTCTTTTCCCGAAAGTAAGAATTGAAAAAAAAAAACATTCAAAACGTTGTTTCGCTGAAAACTGCAACATTTATAACACGTCTGTGGGTAACGATAAATGCTTCATGAATAACCCGGATCTTCGAAGGAAAAAACGAAACTTATCGCTATGAATTGCGTGCCTTTAGTGAGCTTGTGCCTGACAGGACGAAGGAAGAAAATCCTGTCATTACTCGATCAGTACGACCAGGCCTCAGCTTTGAAAGGTAGTCATCCTGAGGAACACACATTTTGTCTATTTGTAAGAAAAGTAACTACGACGACATCAATAAAACAAAAACATTTTTGATTATCCAGAGGAAGTTGTCAGATTCAAAATGTTCTGGCTTTAAAAGAACTCTTCATCAAGGTCAAGGACATGTATATTAAGTTTATCCATACCCAGTGTTTTCCCTTACCTTACTACGTTAATTAATCTGACTTTATACCGCAGGAAATAAACACCCTCGACGACGAAAGGGTAGAGTTCAAGGACGATAAAAACCAGTTAATCTGGTTTTTGCAACCCCAGGAGGCACAGTTTTACTTGGCGGCCGAGACATTGAAGCACAAACCCAACACATTTGTGAGAACAAGACTTCCATTTAAGCCACGAAAATCCTCGAGAGCCACGAGAAGGTGGCCAGAGATTAAAGAAATTCAAGAGTACCTTAAAAAACTAAAGGAGTTAGAAGTTGGCGAGGAAGGTAATGTTCTCTTTCAAGTAAAAAACAGCTTGAAAATACTGCCAAAATTTGTCGTGGATTGGAATATGGAAATGGTAATCGTAGTTTAAAGTTCTTAAATGATCTAGTAAGCATGTGGGCTTGCAACATTTCTTGGATTTGAAATACTTTCTTTTTATTGCAATTAAGTGCAAGATTCGATAAATCGTTTTAATTTAAGGACCATATATTTACTTGTTCATTTCAGATATTCCTCAGTTGCCAACGGTTAATAATAACACTACGGCTATGAACAAAAAAATAGACGGCGACCATCGCTTTATCATCCCGCGTGAGGTTTGGAAACCACAAGGGAAGTCTGAAGAGTTAATTGCGATAGGCAAAAAGCGATCAAAAGTTTGTTGTATACAATGACAGTTATTTCCTATCGGAAGCTCCACCACTTTATTGGTCTATGGAGCGGAAACGTAGGTAGAACATGACAAGAATGTAGAGTATTTATGTCTGATTTGTTTTGTGCCCTTTTTATTAACATATAGATATTTAGTAGCTATATTGCAGAGGTTATCACGGTGTGGTTGAATTTATTTAAGCTCGTGACCCGCTCGGCCTGCTTTTCATACTTGTAAATAAAAGATAATCGACTGACTTTTGTTGTTGTTGTTATCGTTGCTGTTGTTTGATAACTCTTTCTATGATTGCTAGTGAGAATAATATGTTCCGAACTCTCAGTCTTCCCTTCCTTTCCCGCGAATCTGCGATCGGGTGTTGCTTTGGATGAAGAGGAGGAGAAAATCGAAGAACTTTGTACCCTTCCGCAAGAAATTATGTAATAACCAAGTCGTGCGAATTGTCAGACATTTCAGTAAGAGATTTTCTAATTCTTATTTCTCTGCCCCACCTTGTAATACTATTAAAACTCACAAATCATTACATGTAAATGAAACTATGGCAACTAGACCTTACAACATTAGAAAGAGGAGTCACTCGTGAAAACTTTTGAAATGGACGAAAAGCAACGTCTGAGATTATTGACTGTCTTTTAAGCCAAACTTTAATTATGCGAGCTTTTACATCTTTAAACGGTCACAGATCGGAATTTTCAGTTGATCCTCATCAGCTGCGGCGATATCACCCAAAACTACCTGATAGCCAAAGGTCGCATTCTTTTGAGTCTAATCGACCACATCTACCCCTTAAATATCATTGCTGTCATTGGTGTTGTTTACTTAAGTCGAAGTAGTTCAAGAGGTCTTTTCACTACCTAAGGATCTAGATTCCATAACTCAGTCCGCTATGCACGAATATATATATTTCCACGTGGATTAACGACATTTTTTAAATGATTGCTCTTGCTCGTACCACAAGGATCGTGAGACGGCCAGTCTTTGCCAGTGTATCCATCGAAGTAATAGTAAAGGCTGTACCATTCACTATCTCTGTAAAGTTTTGGTCCATAACCTTTACTTGGGGATATTTTGGAAGGTGCCAAAGCACTTGTACAGGTGTTAGTCACTACCTTACTTTCACTACCTTACAGCTGACTTCCCCTTCTTGCCAATCAACCAAACTTCCAGTTCCTGGATGACACACCAGCCAGTTATTTATGTTGCTCTTGATAAGGATTTGTCTGCCGAGTAGTTTCCAGAGCGAGAAATTCATGGCGTTGAAGTTTGTTTCATTTAAAGGAGGAGTTGTTGATATAGGGACATTCACTTCAGGGGTCACTTGCCAGTTGGGTCTCGGTGTCACTGCATTTGAATGAGCTGTAAAATCTACGTTATTAGTGAAGGAGTAGCTCCACACTAGAGTCCAGCCTCCTCCATCGGTTTTCATGTCACAATACGCTCTGAAGGCGTTTGTGTGGGATCCACCGTCAGGATCAATCCAATAAACACCCGACTGAGATTGGCTATGAAGGGCCTGGCACGAGGCAATTGCTGCCGATTTAGAGGTACCTGTATAGAACGGGATGCATTAGGAAAAAAAAAAGGATTTCAATTTTAGAAAAATAATTACAGGTGGGAAGGTGGAAAATTTTGAGTTTAATACAGGACCATTTGACACGTGCGTGAGACGAAGGAAATATCTGAGTACATAACGAGCTGATTTTGTGGTCGAACGTGTCAGGACTGACTACTATTCACACTGAAGCAGGATGTGTTTTGATGGCCAAATCTACATCACCCACCCAATAAACTGTAAACTCCTGTCGAGGTGATCTGCAAAAAGAATCATTATTCAAGATTAGGTTCCATTAGACTTAAATTCTTACTAATCAAATTATTAATGATTCTCTCGCCAACGAGCAAGCAAGATTACCGAAAAAAATTATCGCTAAGGTCGATTCATTTTTGAGGGAGACATTTTACAAGTCCGTCAAAGAAGCATAATTTAGAACAGCCGCCGCTTGTCTACGCACCCTGCCGGAGTAACAAGGAACTGGCAGGGGTACAACTTTAAATTACCTTTTTCAAATAAAAGGTTCCATCTTGTTTAACAAGCGTATTTGCCAAGTGTGTTTGACCTTCACCGAGAAGCAAGCATGTTCCTTTGCTTCCTTCAAAAATAACCCGTTTACAAGCTGATTGACTCGCACATGTCCGGGAACAGCTCAATAAAGAGTTTGCTTTTCCCTGCCAAATAGAGTTTCCATCAAATTTAAAAACGTTTTCTTTGATTTCAAACAAGACACCATCCTCTTCTGGCTGGGTTTTTGCTGGTAAGGACAAATAAACGAGCACGAAAATCAGCATCTGTAAAAATAAAAGATGAAACAGTTGCCATAAAGATCTCATATATCTGTACATATCCATAAAGATAACAAAACTCAACGATGTGTCTAATGACTATTTGTGATTTTCAGTGCCGCATTAATTGTCACCTTGGAAAGATGATTGCCTTGGAAATTTCTTGATATTTTCGAGCGAGAAACGTAAATTATAATGTGCGTGGTGAAAACTATTACACTGAGCGGACTAAACAAATACTGGGAGATTAATGACTTTCTTTGTTGACTTTGAAAAGCCAAATGATAAATCAATACATTGCTGAACATTATGACGCCAATCAATTTTGACACTTTATTATCTTTCTAACCATTTGTGATAAAATCATCTTCGAGTGACGGTGATGTATTTTGAATGAGTGTGCTTTACTTAAGTGTGGCCCTTCACTTCTTTTAAGCCACTTATGTTTTATTATTTTTTATGGGACGAAGCAAAGAACAACCAGCAAAAAGCAGCTTCTGATGAAATTTTGCTGAGAATGAACAAGTTGCAGTAGTTCTAATTAAAAAATACATTTATGACTTTCTTACGGCTGTGTCCCGGTGTGATCTTCCTTTCAAACCAAAACAACGGAAGCATCGCTTCATTCCAAATTCCTTCCACAAAAAAAAAGTAAAAGAAAATTTTCATGTTAATTTTCTCTCTCTATTTAGATATATATATATATATATATATATATTTCTAAGTTCGTTAGGTTGGGTTTCATTGTTCTCGGATGTAAATGTGTATTATGAATTCATAACTGTATGTTCCTTTTCATTCAGTTGGTTTATTTTTTATTTCATTGATAGTGTTATCTGTTATCACTTATTATTCCACCCCAGCGCCGTTTAGCTATGGAACTGTTTCTATGCTACAAAAGTGTGTTATAAGCCAGGCCGGCTTAAGATCAGCAATTGGTCAGCATACTCATTACAGACTGAGATAAAACAGATATACATTTTGGTAAAAAACCTTGTTTGAGGACTAATGTGATTTAATAACATCACTAGTATTCTCTAAACATGATATCATCACGGGGCTGGTAATTTTCCGGTTAAAAAAATCTCGTAATTATTTTTCATCTTATGTTCCTCTCTTTATCTGTTTCATCCAAGTTACAATTGATAAAATCCTCTGTAGTCATCAACGGAACGGAAAAGAAGCTTCCCCAATGGCCGGGATAGCATAAAAAATTCAATCACAGCGATAGAAAATCTTAGCTATTGTAAATATAATTAACTGTGTTTGTCCGTCATATTGGAAATTAAAAGATGTGCACGACGCTCATTTGTACCATCCCTATGGTATCACGGCAGGTTTTACCGGTATCCCGCTGAGATATGGAACATAGGTCACGTGATATGAACCATCAACAGCTAAAAATTGATATTGAAGCGGCAGATTTTGATGGAGCCGTTGATAAATCTGTTCTATGTATTTTAAGATATGATTTTTAATTCTTACTTCAAAACCAAATACCCAGTTAACGCTTACTCATACACAAAGAGTATTCCAACCACGGCTACATTGTTTTGGGAGAGTAGATAGCAAAAAAACCATTGAGGAAAGTTGGCTATTATTTCTTCATCTCCCGAACATGTGCGAGTAAGTAACTGTTTCATGTATAATAATATACATGGAAAAATTTCTCAGTTCTGATTGGTTAAGATAAATGCAGTTTTCAGGTAATTTAGTGCAGAAGAGAGTTAATTCAGTGCAGAAGAGGGTTAATTCAGTGCAAAGAAAGTAACAAATCAGACATTCTGATTGGTCAATAATCAAAGAAACTCACAGATAGCTAATCAAATGCAAGCCTTGGATGTCGCAACAAAATTTGAAACTTTGAAAATTTGCGAGCGAAACAATGGCCGGCGTTTTAAGTAGGTTTTCTTTCGCCACCGCAGCTGAAAAACAGCTCAAACAACGAAAATACTGTAAAAAGCACTGCTTTTTGGTTGTCGGTTTTGAAAAAGTGGTGTTTAGAGAAGGGAATTGCCAAGGAAATCGAAAATTACGAGCCGACCTAGCTTAACATTTTGCTCGAGCGATCCAACACCGAAATTAGAAACAAACATTGTTAAACCTCGGAAACGACGATTCCATTTCATCGAAAGTGATTCGGACACAGACTGAACAATTCCTTAAACTGTTTAGCCGGACTTTGAACTTTTTTGCGCCTTAAAGATGTGAAGGTATCATTGCATATTATTCTTTTGATCGTACGTTGTTGTTTTGACCACACGTATGGTTTGAATAAATTATTTTTACGCTTGATGCGCGCCCTTTGCTTATGCTTAATTTTGATAAGCCATCTCGAATTTTTCCATTATTAACAAGTAATCACATGATTTTTCTCGTGCAAATTTGGAATAAACAAGCACTTGTTAGTCTTTGAAAAAATTTACTCGTGCTTATTTATTCCAAATTGCACTCGAAATCATGTGATTACCTATACAAATGACGCGGAAATATATCTCGTCCCCAGAGGTCACGCTTTCAGTCATCGTTTCCCTCTTGCAAGGGATTAGGGGAGTGTGAACGGAAACGAGTTTTCGCCGAAATATGCGTCAAACTTCTAAGTGCCAGCGATCATCAATTCGTTACGTCCCCAAGCATCATATGTGAAATGCACATCAAAATACGACAAGCAAGTATGGTGAGTTTTTATTTTGTCACAAGAAACGCAAGCAACTTAATTCAAATAACAAATTACACAGCAGTCTACCTCTTCATGCATAATGGACTTTTTCCCAGTTTTTTTGGAAGGTAGAATTACACTCTAGACTCTGGAAATCGAATAAACAACGAGCATCTCCGCCTACAGTTCCACACGAGAAGTAACAGCGTTTAAAGAAACGTTAAAGTGAACGACTTGG